CCATCATCACCTGTCTCACTCCACCATCATCACCTGTCTCACTGCACCATCATCACCTGTCTTACTGCACTATCATAACCTGTTTCACTGCACCATCATCACCTGTCTTACTGCACTATCATCACCTGTCTCACTGCACCATCATCACCTGTCTCTCACTGCACCATCATCACCTGTCTCTCACTGCACCATCATCACCTGTCTCACTCCACCATCATCACCTGTCTCACTGCACCATCATCACCTGTCTTACTGCACTATCATAACCTGTTTCACTGCACCATCATCACCTGTCTCACTGCACCATCATCACCTGTCTCAGGGGTCACAGAGGTCAGTGGTGATGACCATGTGGACACTGTAGACACATGGCCAATAGAAGAACATTCAAAATGGAGAAAATGTTAAAGTGTGTGTGTTTATGTGTGTGAGTGAGCGTGTCTCTGTGTGCGTTTACCTTTGTGTATGTATCTGTCTGACTGTGTGTGTGTGTGTGTGAGTTCACTTTGGGTCAGTCTGCACAGTAATACCTCTATAATCTGAACAGCACTGCTTCACATCACGCCTCCACTGTGCACATAAACAGATGAATTATTCATTAGATCAGATCTGAACATTAAACACAGTGTTCTTCAAGATGAACTCTTCAGATCCGTCATTCATCAGTCCCGAGTGTCTGATGTCAGAGAATACAATACGTCCAGTTCAGTGACAACTACACAGGTTATAATCCCACAGCTGAAATCTAATGTTATCAGTTCATTCTGCTGGATGCATGACTTTATGTGGGCAGTTTGTGCTTCACCTTTTCATACATCTTGGATAAAGGATATAACAGAGCCTGATATGAAAATTATATCAAATATTTTTCTAATATTCTCTAATCTTACTGTCAAAGCATTAAAGTGACAATTAAACAGTTACAAAATAAAAGCTCATATTTACACAGTGTGTGTGTGCAGGGGCACCACTAGGGCGGAGAAAGTTAGGATGGTTCTAAGGGCCAATACATTTAAGGGGCCCTCAAAGGCCCGCGCAACCCCTCACCACCCCCCTCTTCAGTTTCATCTGCGATTCAGCCCGTTTCCCTGATGATGTCTGACGGTTGCCAAATTAGTGAAATAAATTATCAAACTACCAAATAATACCTGCCGTGAGTATAACCACATTCTCCATTGGGAGGCGCTATAATATCTCTCATAGGAGTTTTATTTACGCAATCCGAAATAAATAAATCCAACAGTACCCGAAAGCTTCTCCCCTTCCGCTACATCCATTGAGTGTGAAGAGTGTAAGTGTGACCCCCAGTGGTTGAACTAGGTATTGCACACCTGGTTTAAAACACATGCAAGAGCAGGTTGCCAGATTGACGACACCAACAGGAGTGTGCCTGACTGTCGAGCCTAAAGGCTGATTTAAACTGTGTTCTGTTAAATAGCACATGATAGGAGGAATATTTACCATATTAAGGTGTTAAATGCTAATCGTGTGAGTCTGAATGCTGTATCACATCACATTTATTGCCATACTACTGAAACCAGATAGTTCAGCTCAGATCTGGAGAATAAAATAAAGCGTCTGAAACTGAACTTCAGAACTGAGACTCAGTGCAAACCAACACATATCAGTGATTCAGCATCTACATTAATCATGTTCAAGAGCTTTAATATGTGTTCATCAGATGATGAAGCTCAGCGTTGTGCTGGAGTGCAGTGAGGGCTCTATTCTGTGCTTCTGAATGGCTGTGTTTACATTTCTGTCCTGTTTCGTCTGCTGTAAACAACCAAACTGCTCATCACTGCGCGTCTCGTCATGCAGCTTGTTGTTAGGACACGGGGTTACAATGTGACCTGCTCAGCTAATGTTTACACTCTTAATATTTAGAATAAGCAACTCATGTGGAACTCTGAATCTGCATCTCATTTTGGAGTCTGCTGCTGTCCACCAGAGGTCGCGTTTCGGTCATGGACGCATGCTTTGAGAGTCTTCCTGACTGAATGAATGAAATACACTGTTTTCCACCATCTGGCAACCCGGGGTGCTGAAATATAATTGGCTGAACTGGCATTGGGCGGGTTAAAGAGACCAAAACAAAGCAGGTAACGCACATGTTCACAGCAGAATATCTGACTTCAGCATTGAGTTCCAGATAAACAAGAATGTTCCCTGAGCATGTTTCTGAGTATCTGCACACGCATGATGCTGTATTACGCTGTAGACGAGTCAAACACTCACATACAGCAGCTTTAACTTCGTAAACACACACAAAAGATGAAAAATCGCCCTAATTAATTTAATGATAACTGAAGCTGAACGTATGATTGAGGAGGCTGTCAGAAACAGCTGTAGCGGAGTCTTTAAGTTCACTGTATTCATGTAAATTTCTCTCTGATGATCTGGAATATACTGTAGATTATACACTAAAAGTGTTGGATTGTCCTAAACTAATGTTAAGTCCATATTTGATGCAACGCTGCATTTTTGTGAGTGTATTTTGTTTTTATCACATCCTTAAAAGGACAACCATGATATTCAACAGGGTGTACAAACTTTTTCACACAACTATAAGTCAAGACTAGAAGAGTTTGAGTCAATAATAATGTCCATTTCTCTCAGATATACAGAATATAGATCCTGACCCATACTCTAAACAAAACCTAATGTTGAGTCAAATCTGGACAAACCCAACACTGGGTTATTTTTTTCAATTAAATTTAAATGACACTTTGAACCCATTGTTTCGGCTTTTTTTTAGAGTGTACCAGTTTTTGTTATGTCCCTATAAGAAAAACCATGACGTTCAATAGGGTGTACAAACTTTTTATAAATTAATTATAGAAATATTCATTCATTTTCCTTCAGCTTTATCAGGGGTCACCACAGCGGAATGAACCGCCAACTATTCCAGCATGTGCTTTACATATGCTCTTTCAGCTGCAACCCAGAACTGGGAAACACCCATACACACTCATTCACAGACACACACTCATACACTACAGCCAATTCAGTTCATCAATTCCCCTACCCCACACCAACACGGGGAGAACATGCAAACTCCACACAGAAACACCAACTGACCCAGCCGAGACTCCAACCAGCGACCTGAGTGCTGTGAGGCCACCGTGCTGACCACTAAGCCACCGTTCCGCCCCATTTCAGTCAATAACAATGTCAAATACTGTATAAAATATAGAGCGTGACCCACACACTAACATGCTGGGTTGTCGTAAACTAAAGTTGAGTCAAATATAGACAAAGCCAACATTGGGTTACATTTTCTCAGTTGAATTTAAATTACACTTAAATGACACTTTTAACTCGGTGGTGTTTGTCCATATTTGACCCAGTGCTGCATTACTGTGAGTGTACTTTTAATGACTACATCTTCATATGAAAAACCATGACAATCAACAGGGGGTACAAACTTTTTCACACAGCTCAAGTCTAGAAGAGTTTCAGTCGATAATAATGTACATTTTTCTCAGATATATGGAGCTTGACCCATTCACAAAACAATGGTGGGTTGTCGTAAAACCCAACATTGGGTTAATTTTTTGGAATAAATTTAAATTGCACATTTAACCCAGTGCTCAACCCAAGCCCAGCACGTTTGTGAGTGTATTATTAATGTTGTGGTAAAATTCAGCACACTGTATTAAGAGATTAGTCACTTCACTTAATAAGTAAGTAA